GCAAGCCTTAATGCTCACAAAGGCTCGCATGGTGGGTAATTGCCTGACCCGAGTTGCATAGGTAATGCAGCATACCTATTTATCAAGCAGCTGATTGTGCCACAGCTATGGTCCGTCCAAATCCTAGTAATAGGAGTTAGTTAGCTTCTAGGGTGTAGGTTAGGTTCTAGGAGTAGGCCGTAGGATACATTGTTAGGTTTAGGTCCTAGGGACTGGGCGGACCAATTTGCTGTGTGGAGGCGGACCCCATGCTCGGGGGAAATGCAGCTCTGCTAGCCTCGGGTTCAGTTTGACCACCATTTATTTGTGTTGCAAGCTTAGGGGGTGTGGCCCATACGAAAGTTACCAACCCTACCTTCTTTCTACCCTTTGGTAGTTTGTAAGGTTTATATATATTTTTGAGCTTCATAGGATATTTATATCAATTGTTAGTGTTTTTCTCATTGACTTGATTGGAAGACTTGTTGCTGATAATAAGTCCAATGTGCCTTGTTTTTTTATGGCTGAACCAGTTAATAAAACTATTCAGATTTCCTATCAGATACTATTCATTCCATCAGTCTTAGCTGGTACATCATATTTTCTCATATGGATATATTTATTTGAGTTCCTGTGTAGTCAGTCTCCTTTTGGTATGCATGGAATGATCATTGGACTGCATTGGTTTTTTCATGGTATATTCACTGACTTTGCTTTAGGTATTTTGTTAGTATTCTCTGATTACCCTATACACTCAGTCAAATTTATGTCATGTACCTCATGGTTCTCTACAATATTTGGTATATTTGCTGTTATTGGATTAGTGGTGTATGTATTAATAGCTCGATGGTATGTCAATAGGGTCAGGGACACTGATCTTGGTCTACGTGCAGCAGTAGAGGAACATTGGGAGAATAGACTGACATCTGAAAATGACACTGAAGCAGAAGATTTTCTTATTTCTAGTTTTAAATGACTTTTTGATTCTTTGCATTTTAAAAGAATTTTGTAACCTTTTTATTATCAATTTCTGTGTTCCACTATAAAACTGTAGTCCTAAATTTTCTCCAGCAATCAGAGTAAGATGTATTGTATCATCATTAGCTATAATGAACATGTACCTATCATTGGCCCCTTCCCTTGAAGCCATCATGCTTCCCTTCAATTGTGGAAAGACAATGTTCCTTGTCTTGATATACAGGAGAAGCCGCTTTTTTGAAATGCCAATAGTACTTTGTAAATGGGATAATCAGATAGTAGAAAAGTACAATCCTCACCTCAACTATAATGACAACAATGTTTTGCTTTGCCTTTAATTTCTACGTTTTTTTATGAAACCTCAATAATGTTTTTGAATGGACTGTTACAGCATGGTTTCCAATAAAGCATGTTAAGTGAGCTAAACAGCATGCTACAATGCACTACATGGCATTTGAAGCAACTTTAAAAGTGATTTTAAAATCCATTTTTAATGCAAAGTAAGTATTGTATGTATATCAGAAAATGTAATATGAATAAAGTTTTTTCACCTATTCACTTTTGATGAAATTTTCTCAAAGTTCTTGTACTATAGTACAGGGTGTTTGGCCCAATTTTTGAACAACTCTAAAACTAGTTCATAAAAACTCAACCAAATTTGATTTAAATTCTATCAAATTTTCTACACAGCATAAGAACATGTATATGTATCAGGAAAAATTATTACAAGTGAAGAAATCTCTACTTGAGACTAGTGTCAAAGTACACTGTTCTGAATCTTTGGCCCAAGTTTTTAACAACTTGACAACCCACTGACAAGAAGATGCATGGGTATAATGCCAAAATCTTATAAAAAACCCTGGTTGCAGAAGCTTTTAACTGCCAATTAGGTCTGGAAATACTGCTGTTTTTCAATCCAAGTTCTTATCAAAGGCAAAACTCCGGCAAAGAAAACACCGGAACCCATCACTTGATGTAAAAGCACAACTGAGATCTCAGACAATTGCCAAAGGCACAACCCCTATAATCAAGCAACATCTTCTCCATGCTGTGCAAACCACTTGCTTCACCAAAAAAGTTCCTATGAGTAGGCTTTACTATTGGAATCATACCTTATTTGGCTACTAACTGATCTAGCTCTGGTTTTGTGATAGTGGTAATGTTGTTATAATTGACAGTCACATGATTTTGATAAGGCCTGGCAATGTTGTCCCTTTTTTTGTTCTGGTCCCTTTGTTGGAACTAATTATTCTACCTCTCTTCCGTAAATTAGATTAGTTTATAATTAATCCATTGAAAGGAGTTGATTTGGCTTATATTCTCCTCATATTATCAATTGTTAGTGTTTTTCTCATTGACTTGATTGGAAGAATTGTTGCTGATAATAACTCCAATGTGCCTTGTTTCTTCATGTGGAAATCAGTTCATCAAACAATTGATATTTCCTATTGGATACTACTCATACCATCAATATTAGCTGGTACATCTCATTTTCTCACATAAATATATATTTATTTGAGTTCCTGTGTAGTCAGTCTCCTTTTGGTATGCATGGAATGATCACTGGACTGTTCTTGTTTTTGAGTGGTATATTCATTGGCATTGGCTTAGGGTTTGCATTTGTAGCCTTTTATCATAAGATGAACTCAGTCTCATTTATGTCATGTACCTCATGGTTCACAATCATGTTTTGTACAATTACTGGTATTCGATTAGTGGTGTCTGTATTAATAGCTCGATGGTATGTCAATAGGGTCAGGGATACTGATCTTGGTCTACGTGCAGCAGTAGAGGAACATTGGGAGAATAGACTGATGGCAGGGAATGCCATAATTGACACTGGTACAGAAGATCTTGTTATTACTAGCTATAGATGATTCTGTTAAATTTTTGTTGCATGTTTTAAAGAATATTGTTATTTACTTCAATTTTGTGATTTAGAATGGTGTAGTCATTAAACTGGTAATATAAGAGTGAATATATCACAACCTATTACAAATAATAATGAATTAATAATATTAGCAAACATAATATGCCTTTTATTTTACTAAAAAGACTAATTTTAGATAATGTTGTCCAAGTTTTTCTGCTTCTTCAAAATGATTCCAAGTATTAATTAACTACTGTAAACTGCTTTATGCAAATATATATTTCCTCTTGTTTTGGAGGATTATGCTTATTTCTCGTACCACACAAAACTTCCCATAAACAATGGAATATAATGTGGAATGTGGCGTATCATGGTTTTTGTCACATAGGCTAGAAAATCAGGTGTATGACTTTCTGAACATGATTTGTATATAACTTCTCTATCGTCCACAACAAAATATCTGTCAAATAAAAAAAAACTGTGGATAAACCGTGTTTTAACATAATGACTTGCCCATTTAAAAGAGAAATCAGGAGACACTGGCTTTATCCACTGAGAGTATTTATACATTTCGTCATCAGCAAATGACCTTTCATACTTGCAGAAAACCACTGCTTCAATTTAATGACAATACATAAAGTTTTATAATTATCTATTTATGCCGATGGGGCCTTCTTTTTATCTTTTAAATCGGTCTTGATTTAAAGCCACTCCTGTGTCTACTTCCAACTGAGCCTTTAATGCTTTTATTATAAGTGTCTTGGACTTTCTCAGTTGAGAAAGCTGCTTAATTTTTTCTCGGTGTCAGTCGTGTTTGGAGTGACAGTGTTTAATGATTACTTCCTTCACCGTACTTAAATAATCAAATGATGACCAAAGTACCCTTGGAAGCAACTACCTCCAATTATCTAGCAGTGCAGTGCAGTATGTAGCAGCTCATTATGACATCATAATCCTGTTTAGCCAAAATTAATATTTAATTACCAGTTTTGCATACCGTAGGTCGGATTATATTCGCAACTGCTAATATTGGCAACAATAAAAACTAATAAAAAGGTTCAATTAATATTTAAGATTCTTAAAGTTTGTATTTGTTTTTGTTGGTAAGGAGGAGGTACCACTTTGTCCTTATCTGGACTTCAACACTAGACACTGCCATTTCCTGGTCATCAGCTTCAGCTATAATAGGTGTGTATAATATGCAGCTAATGGCACAGACAGTGGGTCTTGCTTTGTTGCAAAACTCACTAAAAGTATCAAGGTTTCCTGATTGTCCTGGAGCCCTTGTACTGTCCATTACATAATGGACAAATGCAATGCTTAAGTTTTTCTGCAAATAATTAAAGATCTTTCCATTTGTGTACAATCACAATTTTGTTCCCTGCAATCAATTCTTGCCTATAGGGTGTTCTATATGTACAAGGTACTATTGGAATGATACCTTATTTGGCTACAAACTGATTTAGCTGTGTAGTTGTAATTGTTATAATAACTGTCACATGCTTTTGATAAGGTCTGTTGATTCACTGCTATTGAAATCAGATGGATTCTGTCTCTCCAGAAAGAAAGCCGTTGTTACCCTCTTCTTCACTTGTTAATGATGCAAGTAAAAGGAAGTACAAACCTTTCAACTGCTTCAGTAACTACTGTAAGGAATTAAAGTCTCGTTCATTAAGTTTACCATCAATCCTCCTACTGATTTATGCTCTACCAATAGCAGTTAGCTATTCATTTTTTGATATCTTTTTCAGAAATTTTTCCCGCAACCCATACAACCGATGTGAACCTGGAGGATCTATTGACTCTCATACCAATACAATATCGTATAATGTTGGAATTATATTCGGAAATGGTCTCTTTCTTTTTGCCCCTTTCTGTGGTTGGTTATCAGATACTAAGATTGGTAGGGGTAATGCTATTTATCTTGGTCTATGGCTTGGTTGGATAGGCACTTTACTCTGGGCTATCGGATGCTGTTTGCAATACTTTTCATGTGATACTAATGCACTTTTTGGGCCTAGTTATGCATTTTTTGGGATAGCTTTTATTTTTATGTTAGTCTCATTGTCACTCCTGTATACTAATATATTACCTTATGGTATAGATCAGTTGATAAATGAATCTTCTGTCAAGATAAGAGCATTCATTCACTGGTTTGTGCTGTGTCTTTATAGTTGCTACGTATTTATAGCTCTATCAGATGAGCTCATTGTTTCATTTGTGGCTTTTGCTCTCTTTTCTTTTTGTCTTTGCCTTCATTTTTTCTTTAAGCATCGTTTTGAGCACATACCTATTCCTAATCCTTATAAAATTGTATTTAAAGTATTGAAGTTTTCTCTCAAAACTAGTCACACTAGAAGACAGCATCGTAGTGCATTCACATACTGGGGAGAGGAGCCCAGTAGAATGGATCTTGCTAAGGAGAGGTATGGTGGTTGTTTCTCTCATGAAGAAGTGGAAAATGTAAAGACTTTTCTTCGTATTACTGTTGTTTTGGCCACTTTTTTTTCTCCATTTGTTCCCATTGTTTCATTTTTAAACAGTTCCTCAGCTTTTGTTGCACAGTTTAAAAATGGTCATGAAGGTTTTGCTACAAATATTGTTTGGCTTTTAGGCAACATCATCCCATTGTTTGTTCTGGTCCCTTTGTTTGAACTGGTTATTTTACCTCTCTTCCCTAAATTAGAATATTTCCTAATTAGTCCATTGAGAGGATTTATTTTGTCTAATGTTGTCATCATATTATCAATTGTTAGTGTTTTTCTCATTGACTTTATTGGAAGACTTGATGCTGATAATGACTTCCTTAAACCTTGCTTCTTTGTATTTTTATCAGTCCAGCAAGCATTTCAGATTTCCTATTGGATAGTACTCATACCATCAGTATTAGCTGGTACGTCATTATATCTCTCTTATACGTGCATATTTGAGTTCCTGTGTAGTCAGTCTCCTTTTGGTATGCATGGAATGATCATTGGACTGTTCTGGTTTTGTAGTGGTATATTCATTGACATTGGTTCAGGCATCTTATTATTTTTTTATTATTACCCTATACAGTCCGTCTCATTTATGTCATATCTGTCATGTACCTCATGGTTTACTGTAATATTTGGCATTTTTGCTGCGATTGGATTAGTTGTGTCTGTATTAATAGCTCGATGGTATGTCAATAGGGTCAGGGATACTGATCTTGGTCTACGTGCAGCAGTAGAAGAACATTGGGAGAACAGACTGAGGGCAGGAAATGCCATAAATGATACTGAAACAGAAGATTTTACTATTTCTAGTTTGAGATGATTTGTATTAATTTTTGTATTTTAAAGAATTTTGTAGCTTTATTTCAATCATTTCTTGCCTACACTTTAAAACTAGTCCTGCCTTAAGAAATTATTCCCTAGCAATCAAAGTAATATGTATTGCATCATCATTAGCTATAATGAACATGTATCCATTTTGGTTCCTTCTCCTTCAAGTCATCATACTTCCCTTCAATCACAGAAAGACAATGTTCCTTGTCTTGATAATACAGAAAAACAATGTTTGAAATGCCAGAGTAAAACAAAGTAGGATGATAATCCTCACTTCTCCACTAAATTGACAATACTGTTTTGCTTTGCCTTTAATTTCTACATCTTCAATAAACCCTAAATGTATGGACTGTTGCAGCAGGGTTTCTTATAAAGCATGCTAATTGAGCTAAACAGCATGCTTAATGAGCTGACAAGCACATTATTGTTCCAAATGCCATGTACTCTTGTAAAATTCATTAAAAATCCATTTTTAGATTGGAATCAGCTATAAGTTTCTACTCAACATAAGTAGTACATGTTTAATGTCCATATTTGCAGAAAACCATGCACTGCTTCAATTTATTGACAATACATAAAGTTTTATATTTATCCATTTATGCCGATGGGGTCTTCCTTTCTTTTTAAATTGGCCTTGATTTATAAGCACTCCAGTCTCTTCTTCTAGGCTGAGTCTTTATTATGAGGGTGGCTCTCTACCCTTCTCAGATCTGGTTTACATCAGTGGACTGCAAGAGTCTAAGAAATTCTTTTCTCAGCTCGGCTGT